TGTACAACTTTTTTAAATTAGTAAGAGGCAGCAAGATCGGGCCAAAAGAGACATCGGTATTTGTGTTTTTTTATAAAAGGCAAAAGTCTTTTTTGGAGGCATTCTTTGATGTAGAGATTGGCAGTCAAGGTCTTTTTAGTGACAAAACAAAAGGACTGCATACGACAGCTACAAATTGCTTGCCACACAAGGAACTTGGATGCAAATTTTTCTCGTTGAATATATTTAAATTGATCATTAACAGGTTTATCTTTGTTTTCATAGGAAAACTGTTGACCAGGAAGTTGTGAAAAATCCGCCTTGCAATATGTTTCGTCGTCTTCAATTACGCACATATTTTTATTTGCCATTATTTTAACCAACTTCTTTGCGAATTCCTTTAATTTCACAATTTAGGCTTCTCTTAGGTGTATTTTTTTTTATAAAATGCTTTAATTCCAGCATTTTTAAGTACTTTTTTGATATAAGAACAAGAAGTCTTGAATTTTCTTTTGGATTGGTTTGGATTTCTTGCTATTGAACGTAAAATCGACTTTGCCTTTTTGGATTTATGGAAAGTTTTTTGGATTATGGAAAGAAGAGTCATAACTAAAGTATGTCAAACATTCCATCTCTCATCTTTCATCGCAAAACGTTTTGCCAATCATAAGCAATCATTTAAAATTAAAAAGTATTCAAAAGACACCATGCTGTCAAAATGGGAACTAAAATATAAAAATATTGATAATTTTATACTGAATTGGTCCATCCTTAAAACAGCGCCTACATACAACAATATTTCCAAAAAATGCATACTATATCTACAAGAAAAATTTCAAATAATTACACATGCAAACCAAGAATATTTGTTAAACAAAAAATTGGAATTGATTTCTAAATGCAGGCACGAAAATAAGTTTCTCCTAAAAAACTATAAAAATAAGTGAGCTTAAATAATAGTTAAATTAAATCCCCCCTTTTTTTAAAATATTTTTATAAAAAAAAGAATTCTTTTTATAATATTGCCAGCAAATTCCACAAATGTGTGAAAATTTACATTAGTTAAAACATTTGCGACTTGTAATTTAATTTTTTGGTATAAATTAAAGTTTTATTAATTTGATCATTCATTTCTGATGAGTCTTTTTTGATGAAACACAGTGTAAAATGAAAAAAAAATTTTGTCAAGTGATTTTCTAATAATTTATTTATTTATAAATTTTTATTTAAAATTGAATAGCAATACAAGTAATGAATTGTACAATTTTGTCTGTCCTTTAATGTTAATAGTTTTCTAAGAATGCAGGTTAAGAAACATATCAGTTATACATTGAAAAGGCAGTAGAGCTCCCAATATTGCTTGGTAGGTAAAGGTCACTGACGCCATCACGAAGGATACGGAGATATTTTTGAATAAAAGATTTTTGGTAAGTAGTAGTTTTTAGGGTGTTAAGAGCATACAGGAATCTATTAGGGTTTCTGCTATCGGTGTGAGTTAATTTAGTGGTTATAGGATAGCATGAGTCTGCAAGGATCTTTTTGAGTATATTAATACAGATCCTGTCTACACCTTTTCAAGATGTAATTGAGAAAACAAAAATTGTAATTAAGAATCGTAAGATGTAATTGAGAAAACAAAAGTTGTAATTAAGAAAAGTAAGATGTAATTGAGAAAACGTAAGTTGTAATTAAGGAACATAAGATGTAATTTAGAAAACGAAAATTGTAATTAAGAATCGTAACATGTAATTGAGAAAATGTAAGTTGTAATTAAGAAATAGAAAGATGTAATTGAGAACACGAAAATTTTAATTTAGATATCGCTTTAAAGGAGTAAAATGGCGCGTAAAAAAATGGAGCGTATAAAATGACGCACTTAAAAATGACGCAAGATTTGTAGCGTAAATTTAATTTTTTAGGGAAAAATTTATAATTTTTGGGCAAATGAATTTAACATAATAAACACTAAAAACATTTTAGGGAAAAATTTATAATTCAATTAAAAATTATAATTAAAAATTATATAATTAAAAATCACTTCATTGATCATTTAAGCACCAACTTGTACGTCTTCCATATTTAAAATAGTTGCATAGTGCGTGGTTGTGTGTTGTACCGCACGTGCACAATCTCCTCCCATTATAGTATTTTTCGCCTCAATTACAATTCGTTCTAAGTACTGCATGCGCTGTTCCGCAATCCCGTCACCTAATACAGGTGGAATGCGAATTGCATTTTTAATGTTACTTTTAATTTTGGACCAGATCGTTTCCACCGGGTTCAACATTGGACTGTAAGGTCCCAAACGTAACAACTGAGCTGGTGAATTATCAAACACCCTTTGCAAACGAGCGTGACAAGGAGCATTATTTGTTACGACGACCAAATCCTCCAAACGATTCCCGGATGTAACCCACTGGTGAAACATAGCCAACATCCACTCGTTACAGGAATCTGCTTTAAATGATCCCCTGCGAGTTTCTATCATGACGACATTTGTAGTTGAAATAGCTGCGATCAAGTGTATGTTTAAACCTTTTGAAGCAGGTACTTTCATAATTGCTCTTTTTCCTTGTCTCGCGCGTCCTTGCGTTTTTCTACAAAAAAAGGTTAAAATTTGTTTCATCCAACCAAACTATCTGACGACCATTTGTGATATGTTCGTTGATGTTTCTAACATATTCAGCTCTTTTTTGTTTGTTTTCATAACTGTTCATTGTAGAAGGCTCCTTGTGCACTTTTTTTAAAGAGAACAATCTGCCTTCGAGGTAATTTGCTATTGTTGTTGTGCTAACGTTTATGTTAAATTGTCTTAATATCTTTGTTTTGATGGCAACCAATGTTAATTGACAATCATTTTCAATCCATGTTAATGTTTCTTCGATTTGATCTTCGGTCAACTTTTTCGGTTTAAAACCTCCTTTTCCGATGAAATTTGAATTTCCGCTGCGAACCCAATTGTATGCTGTCTTATATTTGATACTAAGCGTTTGCGCGAGATTCACCCAATCTTCAAATCGCTCCGCACATTCAACAACTCTTCTCCTGTCATTTGGAGAAGATAAAACGTAACGTTTCCTTTCAACTTGTTCAGTTGTGTGTATTTCATGCCGACAAATCGGACAACTTGAATCTGGTTGTTCCAGAACTGGACGTAAACAAATTTGGTGACATAAATGTTGACACGGATTTAGCTTAATCACAGACTTTCGGGTCATAGTGTATTGGCATATAACACAACGATCTTTCAATTCCATTATTATTACTTGTGCATACAAAAGCAAAATTTAAGATTATAACTTAAATTCATGTCCAAAAAGACCTTTTGTAACAACCTACAAACTTAGACTGTGAATTTGCTATTTTAATTTATGTGTTCTCAATTACAAGTTACGATTTCTCAATTACATATTATGATTTCTCAATTATATCTTACGTTTTCTCAATTACATGTTGTGTTTCTTAATTACATGTTACGACTTCTTATTTACATGTTGTGTTTCTCAATTACATATAACGTTTTCTCAATTACATGTTGTGTTTCTTAATTACATATTACGACTTCTTAATTACAACTTTCATGTTCTCATTTACATCTTGAAAAGGTGTAGTAACTCTTCAATGTCAAAAATAATATTGAAGCTGCTTGAGTTGGTTACATCAATTCCAATAATGTGTAGGTCATTTTTATGAAAATGTTGGATCTCTCTTTTTGCAGCAGCACTGCATGAAGTAAGAATAGGAGCACTATATATCAAGTGGCTAATAAGCGTAATATCGGTAGACCTGTAAAAGGTTTGACTGAGTTTGTCCAAGTTGTTTAAGGCGTTTGAGTAGATATGGCATTGATTTTATATTTTTGTGAATTTTTTTCCACTGTTCATCCCAATCAATATTCTCATTGAGCATGATTCCAAGGTATTTGTGGCTGCTGACTATTTCAAGTTCAGTATTATTGAGTACAGGGGATGGTAAAGCTTGAATTTCAGAGCACCTAGGAATAATTGTTATGATTTTACATTTAGGGCCATTAAGTTTCATTCCGTTTACCATGCAAACCAAATTTATAATTGCTTTGTTCTTTTAAGAACATTTAGCACTCTATTTTGTAGAATACGTTTTTAAAATTGTTTATATATATATATATATATATATATATATATATATATATATATATATATATATATATATATATATATATATATATATATATATATATATATATATATATATATATATATATATATATATATATATATATATATATATATATATATATAACAACACCAGGTTTTTTAAAACTCCCATTTTTAAGCAAGACCAGGGCCCCGGTCATTTATTATTATCAACCAAAACGTATTAGTTTCCAAAAGGTAGTTTTTTATTAAATATAAAATTTAAATTTAAAGTTTGTTTTGTTGTACTTAACATGCTAATATGAAAATTAACAATGATAAGTTCAACAAGTATTGTGATAAAGTCTGTTGAGGAAGCAAACATGTTTTGACTTAAAGCTCATATTTTTGTTTCAATGTTATATTTGTGTAAAAATAATGTTAAACAAAGTTATATATTTCTATTGTTTTAAAAAATCTTTTTTAAAACAATAGAAATATATAACATATTTTTTTAACTAATTAACTTCTATACAGGGATTATCTTTTTCCGGATTCTTCCGGAATTCCGAATATTTTTCTCAACTTTTAGTTTTTCCGGATATCAAAAATGTTTTCCATACATCCAAGTTTAGGAAGATATTTTTGTAATATATTTATTTTTTAGGCTTTTTCACTCATCACTCTTACAAAAATTAAAAAAATTAAAAAAAAAATCAACTGAAAGCAAAACTAAGAGAAATATAAGGGAAAATATATTCCGGATTTTTCCGCATATTTTACCCTAATGATTTTCCGGATTTTTAAAATATGACCTAGATAATCTATGTCTATATAAACTAAATATAAATTTTGATTTTGCCTGTGGTTATTTTTTATTTTTTTGCAATCACATACTTTATTTAGGTTTTACCTGTGGTTGTTTATTTTTCTGCAATCACATATGTTCTTTATTATTTGGAATGGATCCAGATTGTCATTAAAAAAATTGCCTGGGTGCTTCAAATTTCTATGGGAACTTCTCCAGCTGAGTCTGTTAATGCAGCTGGCAATATATTTCTTGGCCAGGTATTTTTTAATATTTTAATATTCATTTATAAAACATGCATGAATACATACATATACATAAATAAATGCAAAACATGCAGGGAGTGTACATACCATTATTTTTTGAATTTTGGTTTTGATTAAAATTTGAATAATATACTTTCAACTTTAATTAGAACTTTTTGTTTCCATAGGTTCTACATTTTTTAAATTTTGATGTAAAGTAGATTTCTTGGTTTATAATCAAGAACTTTTATTTTTTGTTTGTTTTATGTTTATATACAAAAGACTTAAAATACAGCATAATATTAAATGACTAGCTGTATACACCCGTGCTGCGCACGTGA